CATCGTATTTTAAAATGAAATGGTCAAATGTCTCGGCAACGATTCTGTTTTGAAGAGGTTTGATAATGGACCATTTCTTATGACATGGATGAATAGAACAATGTATGTATGTATGTATGTATGTATGTATGTATGTATGTATGTATTGTAATGTCGTGAAGTGGGCGGCGGCAGCATCACAATCTTGTACGAGAACTAACTGTCCCTTTTTTCAATAAGAGTTCTTATCTATAAACGATCGTCCCAGAACTTGGAGAAGTCGGCAATATTTAAAATGGTGCCAGCTCGTCTTGTTCAGATCAAGACGTTTCAGTTTTAAAAATGAAAACCGACATGAAGATGAAGCATCTAATGTTTACAACTGTTTTTAATATTACTATATAAAAATCGATTGATTTCATTTTTCGTTTCCAATCTATGTAATAACTGATCAGCTATGACGTAATAAATATTCATAATTTTCTTGTTTGCATGTTTATTCAGAGGTAGGTCGCAATATCATAACTCGGCTTTGCCGCGAAATTATATCACAACTGTACCGACAGAGTGATAATCAGAAATCAGGCAGAATATCAGAAATGTAATTTCTGATGTCCTGTCGAGAAAAGGGGGGGTGATATCCTCGCCATGCAAAATATCGACCTCCTTCGAAATATCGCCCCAATACACGGCCATTTTCGTAAGTATTGCCCACTTTTTCTATTGTTTAAATCATTGCGATGTGTTTATTTTGACAAAAAAATACCTACTATGTTTATTACATACTTGTCATATAAACACATTCACCTGAAATTGGTATTGAAGATTTAGTTTGGGTTTATATGGCACTTTTTGCTCTACTTTAGTGTTAGGTTAGAGAGAAGTGTGTATCAACATGTCTCAGTATTAACAATGATTAGTTGAATAATACTATGCATTAACTATTCACATACACTAACAGTCTGTACTGATACAATTTTAATTCGTTGCTATTTCCTTAATGTTTTTACATAGATTTGTTAACTATGTATTCAAAACATTTGATCGTTAGCATTTACTCGCATCGTTAATGTTTTTTATTAATAAAGCATGTTCAAATGATTTAGTAATTGATAGTGATGCATTTAAACACGTTTTGATGAAAATTAAACTCACAAAACTCACAAAAACTCTTTTAATATATGGTCTTACCAGCCTAAGTACAACTAGAAATTGCGACACGTGGTGAACAAATGTAATGTTTCAAGGTACAACACCCGAGTATGCATGTTGTATAAGTGTATATATGTATACGTCAGGTACACAAGTTATAAGAGAAACTAAAAGCCATTATTTTATTGCAGGAGCCTCGGTGTTGAATTCCAATATGGTGATTACCACACACCTGTGCAGATTTGAGTCTAATTTAAATAAGCTCATCTAGGTCTCTAATAATACATAACCATTTAACTGTTATCTAGAAATTTTATTAATACACTAAATACAATACGAAAATAAATATTGAACAATAATTTGCTACTTCTTTGCAAACACTTTTAGATACTTAATGGACCAATCAAATTTTGTTTTCCAAAGTAAGTGGATATAGGTTAGTAGAAGCTATGTACTAAGTTTCATAGCGATCGTCCATGTTGTCCAGGAGATGAAGAGGTTTTAATGGGGGGAAATCAGCATTTTTTATTAAATGTACATAGCACAAAAAGTCACGTGACCGCCGAAGTTGTTATTGGCGATATTCATCGCACTTAGGCACTACTATATACATTTTAAAAAAAATGAAAGCCCTAGACCTTCTGTAAGGGGGGATTACCCCCCTCCCCCTCTGGTCGAGTTTTTACCCTGGATAGCGGCCATGACAGTTAAAACGGGAGGGTCGTCACCTACGCACCCGCGGGAATTGAGTCCCAAGCGACGATAACAACCCATGCTAAAAACGCAAAGGCTCATGGGTAGATGCTTGTTTGTAAACAATGACATGCTATGGCCATCTGACGCATGTGCAGGTGACGACTCCCCGCTTTAACCAATACAAATTTAGAAAGTTCAGTGCACAAGTTCACATCACCTCCAATCATCACAGCAAGTTTTCTCAAACGAGCTGACGAAAAAACGACGGAAAAAATACCAATACCAGCGATATCAAAAGGGGTCCAGCCCTGAAAGGGCTTGAACCCGTTACTATTGGCGATCGGGTCAGTGCGCAAGCGTGCTTTACAGTCACATGATTATTAATCACATGCGATCAGTGTTACTGTCTCGACCAAATATACGGGTGCTATCTGGTATAATGGCGTCTTGCTCACCTCAAGACTTGGACATATTATTAGGAGTTAATCGATTGAAGAAATACTCAGAAGCATTGCGGAGCTTAGGCGTTGATGTTGTTGAAGACATTAATGACGTGACGGAAGCCAATTTGAAAACAATAGGTAAACCACGGCTAAATAAGTCGCGCTAGTTAGAGATCTACATATATATTTCTCTTTCGATTCTATTTTCCAGGAACGGTTAACCATATACACAACCCGCATTCACTCAAATTATTTTCCTATGAGTCATTGTGACGCATTACTTAATCGGAATTATATATATAGGTCACTGTATTTAAGTTACCTTTGCCCTGAGTAGTGCATCACGCGATCACCACAGCATATGCTACTACGAGTTCGTCTACAATTTATAATTTTCCTTTTCAATGTTCAATATAATAACACAATTAAAGATGCTGTATACGTTTTTGTATTGATTTTCTAAACTGATATATAATAAATATGATTGTAATGAACCACACAAAGCTATATATTGATAAAAAGCCTATTTCACACTGGTTTTAAATTCGACAAGAGAGTGTGTGTATGTACGTGTATAGTCACGTGATCTATGTGTAAACACAAAAAGCCATTTTCGGTAAAAACAATAATTGAATCAATAAATAAACGAATTTAGTAGAATATTTTCAACAAAACAGACTTTCAGACGACGCTCACCACCATTCTGCGTTGATTGGGATATGTAACTACATGATAGTTGGAGAAAATATTTTTTTTTAGCTATCTTGAAAAAACAATGCGATCTGGTTCTTTCCGGTATTCAAAAATTAGAACGTAATTTCGAAACAAATCCCAGAGCTGCTTGAGAGGGAACATATCGATGAGTGTCTGTGCGAAAAATTAGTATTATGCGTCCACTAGAACTCGAGATCAAAGGTCTACAGTTGCTGTAAATCGCTGTTTTGTTTAACCGAGAAAACGGCAAAAACAACTTAGCAGCAACGCATCGTCGGCAAACTCAAAATCCGTTTGTCCCTTGGATCAATACAAAACATTACGAATAGTCATGGTATCTGCCTGTTAAAATCACGCAGATGTGTGGTCGCAATTGGTTATAAAGTGCGAAATTATGCTCCCGAATTCAATAGGAAACAGTGTTTCATGGCGTGACAAAGCCGCGCCAAAACGAAGTCATGATTTACATATTTATTATTGAGTTGTGGGAGGAGACGCTTTTTTGATTGTTTTGTTTTTAATCTATAATCTGTGTAAGCAATTCCTATACATTTACCTGTATGTGTGGTAATAACTACCACAAGTTAATAAACATTTACCTAAACAATATTACTGACAAATTTAGGTAAGGAATACATAACAGTGGAATTTCATAAACCCTCGTATTTTGATAATAAAAAAGTGTGGTGTGTGTATACTATTTGCCGGGTACTATGCTATAAATATAATAACCCTAACCTAAAATTATTAAAAGTATCCGTGTTCTAATTTTTTTTATTTATACATTCTGATTAAAATCATATCTTTCTAGGATGGATAACACCCATTAGCTTTTCAGCATATTCACTCGCTAAGTTTCGTTTGGCTTCAAAGTATTCGTCACCGGCCTCCCGTCGAATTTGAAAAAAATATTACACAGACAAGACAGTTGTCAGTAACATCTACCTTGACGGTTTGAAAACACTTCTAGTATGGGGTAATGATACGACTACGTACATGTACCTCGGGTACACACCCCTACGTACAGTCGATCCACAGCTGCCATCTAGCATAGAGTATCGCAAACCCGTGGCGGTCACTGAAACAGCATACCAGCCACAGCGTGCCGTTCGCTCGGGCGATCAACACAATGCTACTCCACATCACTCTCTCGTCCACTCATGATGTAAATTTGTGAATACAAATATTTTTGATAGATTAAAAATAGTTTATTTCTTAGTTTGTCATTGTGGAAACAATTTCCAGATAGACATTTTAAGTTATGCAGATTCACGGGCTGTGAAAATGCTACGTTCACGTTCCGCTTTTTAGTGGCAACAAATCCACTGGTATTGACAACGCTGTAACATAATAACAATAATGAACTCCCCGCCAAATCATAATTGACTCAAGCAAACGTTCAATGTACTTGGCTTACTCCTCGCCCATATATGTCGCTCAAAGTGAGCTTTCGCCATTATGGTCGTTCATTATTGTTTAAATAACAATTTTGTATAAATAAATTACAGGTATGACAACAGTTGAGATTAACCGTTTTGTTCGGATGCGTGATTCATTTGGTTCAGCTACACGCTTGTCAATGAGTAGTTCATATTCGATGTCAGCAACGACAACAGATATGTCGTCATCCGCCAGTTCCATCGCGTCAGATGACTTGCAACATTGCGAGTACGTGCTGCATTATAAGACATTCACTAATATAATTAGACAAGAAACACGACAGATCAATGGTTTGAATCCTTATGCATTTACCATGTCCGAATTGGTTAACTTGATACTACAAAAAGAAGGGCAATCATGTGATGTAGACGCTCAGTTGTATGATGAAAATGGAACTCCGTTAACTTATGACGTTTTCTTCAACACTTGTAAGTATACAATGTTTGCCTAAAAGATCAATTGCATGTCATGTATTCCCAACTGCGTAGCCATAATTTTACCATTGATATCATATTTAGAAATTCACATTGTGGGGTTTTCATTGCGACATTGCAATTAGTCGCCAAGCAGGTCTGTCAGGTGTAACTAGGTTACATACCTTAATCCTAACTCAGTTGAATTACTATTCTGTGCATTCTCCACCCAAGTTTCTTTTGATTGAATATACGTATACTTTAATTATTCAAGATTCAGTTAGTCAACTAGTATATTAGTATTTTCAGAAACAGTTCTATGACCAGCGAATTGTTATATTTTCTCACATAGGGACCCTAGACCAGAGGAAGATAGAGTCTGGTGCCCTGCTTTTTGCAATTTTCCATTCTAGGCGGTCAGAAGATGATGGTATACCAACATTAGACAAACTTGATCATACAGAAGGTGCTGATGTACTTAATGTCCATATAATGATGGGCCGTACTTATAAAGTGCATGTTGATCTCATGCAAGACACTGATGAGGTAATTTAAAATTGTGCTGCATTAGTTTCATATTAATTTATTTTCATCCACTATTTAATGTAAACAATTATTGAAGTGTGCCATTTTCCTGTTTCAACATCAAATGGCACATTAAAGGGAAGCAGAGGTCTGGCTTTTGACACTCTGTAATGAAATTTGAGATCTATGAATGAATTCTGTCGACAAAAACAACGTGTATGTGCAGCGAAATGCCCTAAATATCGGGTATAAAACGGGCGGTGAAGCAGACGACAAACATCCACTTGGCCTGGCGTCATTTCGTCTCTAGAGGGCCAACCAAATGATGTCATCAGTGAACAGTGATAATTGAACCAATTCATTCTAGTACGTCGATCCCATAGAAATGCTACTATGAAAGACCTTGTTAACTGACAACTTAAAAGTTGAAACATGGCGAGGTGTTGAATGCTATAACGTATGAATGCTATAACGATTCATGTTAAGTTTCTCGAAATCCCAAATAAAAAATACGTTGTTGGTTGCGAGAAATCGGCAGAAGAACTAACCTGAAAGTGAAGACATTACAGAGTTCTGGCTATAGTAAACAGTGAGTAAATAAATATTGTACGAGTTAAAACTAATTTTATGTACAGTGTGTCAAAAACCAGACCTCTGCTCCCCTTTAAACTAGTGCAAGTATGGTGATTCCTGGTTCTTGTTAGAATATTTTTTGAGAATGGTACAATATAATGGTATATCGTGAAATAGCATTGAACTCAAAGATTTATGATTTTGCTTGTGTCTTAATGATTAGCGACCTTTTTGTAATTTTTCCCTAAAAGACGCTGAAACAAAAGATATATTCACTGACTGATATTCCAACTTCCTGTCAGAAAATACGGTAAATATAGTTTATACTTACTGACCTTAAATGGAACGACTATTCGACTACTTGCGCTTTATTTTTCAAAAGTGATAACACATGTTTCTGTAATAAGCAAATGAGACAATATTGTAACAACCTCGATTGAATAACATATAAATAAATTTTAAATATAGTTTGGAATGCTACAGTTTTCACACAAAACGCCTTCGAATTTTGTGTAGTGTACATGCGATATATCGCGTATCGAACACGACGTGGTGCGAAATTCATTTGGGATATGTGGAAATAATTTTATCATATGATTCGCATTATGAATTTGTAAGGTCAAAATGAATCATTGTATGTATCACTGTATGAAAACTATATGGTTAGTTCAACCCTATTTACATCCACATTGCATATATTGACACAGAATAGAATTTAATAACATTTGGATAAAATTTGAAGCGAATCGTCGATAGCGTATATGATGAATAAACAGTGTAAGGTTCGCTTCTAGAATGTACGCCTCCGAAGTGATTCCCGGACAATCATTGAGGAACAGTCACATAGAAGATGGTGATACGATTATGATTGCAATATCGTCTGACGTTCGACCGATTTATGAAACAAAGATTGAACTCTTCAAAGCTGATGTGAAGCCTCATATTAATCAAACGCAGTGTGGACTCTCTGCCTTCTATTCATCACTTTATGTGCTGGTGAGTCTATTTAGAGTTGAAGGTTATAGTTTAGAATTCTTTTCAGATGTTATTGGCAATCGTATGAACACCACACATAGTGGAATGCATGTGAATATACATGTGTAATCCACAAAAATATCAAGTCGCGTGAACTCATTACCGGTAATATGATATGGACAAATGTAGCCAAGCTTTTGAAGATATATAATAAATAGATATCAACAATTTAGGGAGGACGATATTTACTTTACGTTTTACTACTATATTTCAGCAATATCTTGTAATACTTGTTACTAAATTTTATCTCAACAACCCATCTTTTTCATACTGTATCCGGTCTGTATACATTCAGTCTGACACAGCTCTATTTTGGTAGTCTGCTCCCACGTTATGATTGCTACTATTCGGTAACAAAAAGTTGGAGTTCGTGGGCCCATCTCATAACGCGGTAATGTGTGTATTGTGCACTTTTAATATACTTTAAAGGTTTGTGATCCAAAATACTATCCAACATACTGCTGAAAGTGTAACAGTCATTATTTGTCTATTACTGAGTGATGTGATTCTCTCTGTGTAAGTTTCCGGCTTGCAAAAGCAAGTGGAAATGCTACGTCTTCATAATATTTAGGTAATGCATCAAATGTAGGATTGGGGGCTGTGTCAGATCTTAGCAGAAATGTTCAAAATAGGAGGTGCTTAGGGCACTGTTTAGCCGTGTAAATGCTACTTGATGATTCTGTTCCCATTTTTGTTTGGCATACCCTTGTGCAATAGCTCATACAATGGTGCAGCAATTAAAATAAAGTTAGAACCGAACCTATCATAGAATCCCGCAAACCCAACAAATGCATGCACCTGGTGCACAGTCCTTTGTTGTGAAGTTGCTTGTAATGCTTCGATTTTTGTGCGTATAGTGCATATTTCGCCATTCCAATGACGTATTCAACAAACTGTAGCTGTGTGAAGCTAATGTAACACATAGATGGTTAGGCTTAAACCAGTTTTTTAGGCTACTTTTTGTTATTATTTAATGTTTTTGTGCCATGCGACAGTTTTTTGAATGTGCAAATTGCAAGTGCAAGTGCAAGTGCTGACACATAGTGAATTTTGCCACAGAAGTAATTTTCTGTTTGGGACTACATGACACGGCTGTGCGGCCATCTTCCTATCAACCAGGCTCGGTCAAACACAATCACCTGAGGACCTTAACCAAGGTTCCCCCAAAGTCACAGTGAATGAATGAATCTCGGCCAGTGGATTGGTCTTCCCATTGAGTCTGTGGCACACTCACTCAGGGTAGGTACTATTCGTCCACAAGTTAAGATACTGTATTTGTACTGACCTACCAGTGTCAATGATGCAGTCTGCGGTTTGGCATCATCTGCCAATGAAATCCACAAAAAGCCTTATGTAAGAAAATTTTTTGTCACATACATTTCCTCTGCTAGATGTGAAAAAAAGCTCCTCGGGGTTTGGCATCGGTTCAACATCTAATACATTAATACAATTCAATTGGCGGAAATCAGAGTGCTCAATAATGGCCATACAGGACATCTCTTGAACCTTTTCAATGATGGTTTTGTAAAGCATTAGGGATTAGCATACGCCTTGAAACTCACTGGGTAATCGGTGGTAAGTTTGATCCCATGAACACCTACATTTGACCTACCAGGCATATAAGATAAGGTGTCAGCGTATATCCCTCATCTTTTTAATTTTGCTATCTGAATTAGGACACAAATGTACATCATTGGTTGACTCTTGTCATTTCAAGGGGACAAACTCAATGAGGTCAACCCTCTCCTTCATCATCTGGTCGTTCCATGACCAAACCTAGGTATACACAAAGTAGCGTTCCATGAATGCCAACATTCTTTATACTCTCACCTTTCACCTTGCTTTCCCCATATTTTATATAATGCAAGGGTTTTACCCTTTTTATCAATTCAATAATCAACCTATCCCACCTGTTCTATAACTAGAAAAGGGCATTCCATTGCAATCTGAACTTGTCTGTTGCTGTGAGCCATAACAGTAAAATTGTATCACCTATCATAAATTTACGGGCTTCAGCCTTTTTGTCAAAGTGAACACAATGTCGCTCACTTGATTTACTCTTGTTGCACCATGTTACAAGTTGTTTCTTGCAAATCAGGTGGCATATGGAATTGAAAAGGCCATGTGAAAAACATTAATAAAACCGATTAACCTAATACTCAATAAAGACTTCAATACATGCAAGTGAAACAAATATCCATTCATGTGAATAAATGCTGGAATAGGAATTCGAAATACAACAATATCTTGGATATGTTTAATAAATTGTAACACATCCCACTCCTGCCTGTGAAGGATACCACTTAATACTCGTGACTGTGGATTCTTTTGACACATTGGACCGCTAAAAAAAATAACAGGATTGGATTTTATCTCATTGTGGATTAGCATCATAACAGCCGCTCACAATGATTTTAATGTTGGGTGAGGGAAATCTATGGATTCATAAAATTTAATCATGTTGCCAGGTACCCCTATATAAACCATAAATGACACTGGAAAATTGAGTTGAAACATGTGATATCAGGGTATGTTATGATCTAGGTCATGCAGTAAGTATCGTTCAATGATCTAGCTGGGATTGAAATTTCTTAAAATTACCACTGTATCAGACATCATGCAATATGCACACAAGTTTCCAGATCCATGTAAATTATGTGAACAATTATTTTCGTGATGCTAGACTAGAATGCAACAATGTTACTCTGAATTTAGATTGTGCCCCTGGGGATTCAATCAACTTATATTTGATAGATTGCGCAACACCTACATGTGCTATTTTCGTTTCAGGAGTTGTAAGAATTTCAATCGACTTGGATGTAAGTCAAGTATGGTTAAACTAGTAAAATTAACAAATTTACTAAGGTGATAATTTGATGTTTTACAAAGTGAAGCCGTACTTGCCTTACCCAACCCCCTCTAATCACTTCATCATCATAAGCAGCTTCTGCCAAAAAAAATCGATGGGGGCATAATTTCTATCAATACGGAGGTATAGTGTCGAATTTTGGTCAGAATTGTGTATTTGTTATAATGTATGTATGGTTCCACTATGTCAAATATCAAATTATAATCTAGTTGAATTTGTTAATTGTTTAATATCTTTCAGATACAACATATAGGTGACTTTGAGATAAATGATATCGTAGCCCATGTGCAACATTTATCAGGGAGTTCAGCCCTGGCGTGTTCTTTAGCAAACCTACTTCATCAAAAGAGCACATGTTTTCCACAAAAGGTGATTCATTTTTTTGTTTACGTTTGTACAAATTCGTTCAGAAGCGTTAAGAAGTGCCAGGTACATTGTTTTATTTGATTATTTTAGGTTGCGTTAATTGAAGGGTTGTATTTCCTGTTTAGAAGAATACTACCTTCACCAAATGGTGAGTAATTTATTATTATCAATATTCATCATTTGCTGCTCATGTTTTGCAACTTATGCAATCGTTCTTTTGTCCAACGTGTTTTAGAATATAATAACAAACTGGCCAACTAGGGGCATTTAGATTGTCACAAACCATCTGAATGATTATCAAACCAATCTTACTAAATTTGACACTTCAACATTACAATACAAACTAAACTCTGACATTTAAGGTATAAATACGGCAACAATGGTGGAATGTCGGCCAATAAGACCACATGTTCAGCTGTATCAGTGACATGCACCGTTGCTTAATTTTATTAAACTATGGCTCGGAGTTTATCTTTCGATTAGTATCAACAATTGTTTGCACTCAGATACACATATCTTTCTGACATACCTTATAACATGTGCATTTGCTATATGCAGATCAGAACATAAATGTGACATGAATTAAAAGTAAACAACAGTATGTTTGACAATATTTTTTATATAGACATAATGTGAATTATTTACTTTGATGGTTGAGTACACAGAATCTATAATTACCTGTTTATTTCAGTATCGCTCTCAAATTGTGTTACCGATGAATGTGTATTCGAATATTCCTGTGCATGCTGGGCTTACATACTCAATGGTGCTAAGGTAGGTCACTGTTCTATTCTTGAAATTATTGGACGATTCTAGATGAGTAATTGACAATATAAGGTAGTTTTCCATTGTGGCTAAATGAAATTTGAAATTCAAACATTGTGTTTGTATGTCAACACAATACCAACACAAATACCTTTCTATCAGAAAAATAAATGATTCTCTAAGCGGAATATTTGATGTTGATTTAAATCGATAAAAAATCAATAAAATAGATATGGATACAATATCCTCATCAGGTATTGTTTTTGTAACCATCTTCTGTTTATGAAATGTTACAGGGAACTAAAAATATCTCTGACAAAACTATAGTAAGATTGTTAATTACTTTCAAACACACGAGTAAACCACTCAATGTTTTCTCTGTTATAAACTATGTTGAATTTAAATTTAAATTTAGCCATCTTATTTTTCATTTGCCCGCAATTTCATCTCGTCTTGCGTGTTTATGTGTTCGTAATATGCATGTACTTTATAACGTCCGTGTTTTAACTATATCCCCAAATACATTGTTCAATTTTCGTCTTTTGTTTCGACTAAAATGAAACTATGCTTACTATCATGTTTTAGATAGGAGTTAATTTCTGCAGTTTACAAATCGTTTTTTACTGATGGACTATGTGTTTACATAGGGGTCTAATAAGGTCTGGTGATTGATATATAAATATGTTATACAACACCCTCGCCTGTATTATTATGCCACTAATAACTATTATTTGTATTTACCATTTCAGGGAGTCGGCAAGAATTCCGATAAAACAAGTTATAGCCTTATTTGTTCACAGACGTATGAACGTCTAATGGAACCTGTGACTATTACAATGGACAATGGTCGACAATTTATCTGTGAAAAGAGTTTTGCCATTCAAAAAATAGAAGGTCACAACAAAACCCAAACATAGCTCTATATTAGAAACAGCTTTTACTTTTTGTTTATTTTTTATTGGACTGGGATAACGTAGGTTTATTTATCTGTGGTGAGCCCTTTGATTTGTTTGTGCATTCTCTGCAAATTGGTGTTATTCTATTGTATAAATTACGATTGAATGTAAAAGTGCAGACACACCATTGCCATTTTATAGGGTGTTACCTGTATTGTTGCTTAATTGTAGTACGTGTCATACACAGCAGCATTTATATTATTATATTATATTTATCGACAGATGGCGAAATAATTGCGGGATATTCTCTACCTTCTGCTGCAGCTGATAACCTCGAACCTGCATGTGAAATTGAACGATATTTGCAGTGCTGGCCGTATAGTTTCACAGAATGTTACGTATGGCCCATGCCTCCGGGATATAAACACAAGTAATGTGGATTACTTTTTTAATTGATATCAATATTTATCAATCAAAAGTACATCTGAGTACTGTAATGGCATGAACAGAGATTATTCTATTTTTCTGTTAATAGCAGGTGTTTGCATTATTTTTACTTTAGATGTAGTAACATAGAAGCTATGTCAGTTGAATACTTGGAAAAGACAATTTCAGAGTTCGAGTTTTTAAAAATCTACTCCCCTCTCCAACTAAAAGAAAATGTACCAGTTCCATGTTTGACACTTGATCACAAGGGTAAGTAGTTGTCCTATTTGATGTTGAACCGCGGGTCCAGATGTATAGAAGGAAAGATGGCCGCCGGTTTTCAGTATGTAACTAAGGCGTGAAACATCGCATCAGGGTACTCCCCTAAATCACTCTTTCAGGCAATCTTAACGCATGTGATGCTTTATTTTCCTGTCATACACAAACATGAATATTTGCGCGATACAATTTCGATGTTAATTAATAATTTCTGAGCAATGTTAATGTGTTTTCACCCTACTGTCGATGACGAACCAAGCTGTGAGTACTGTCCCAGATTAGCGGATGTGACGAGCCTGGCTGGTCATGATAATAGCGGGGCTCGTTCGAGGGGTTCGTCAACAAATAATCCCCGACTATATGCTTTGAATATGCGAATGCTTCTCGAATTTGATATATGACGTTCTCGGCAATTTCAAAAGTACAAATGTGACTCGAGACAAAAAAAATTAAAGATCCCGCAAAAATGGTATGTTCCCTAATCTATATCCCCGCAATGAAATGATTGTTGACCGACAACATTGCGTAAAAAAGGTATGCGTGTCTTTGTATTGTAACTTATTAGTTGCACGTTTATTCGTGTATATTTGGCGTCGGGCAACTGGGTATGCCGCACAGCCGCAACACAAAGTATTTTTTTTATTTAACGTTGCATAACGTCATTATTGCCTAGCTGGCAAGACACATTATGGCACACGGTGTACTATGTGCTAACAATACATTGTGTATGTCATTAAAATAAACCACAATTTTCGTTGTAAACACGGAAATAAGAAGCTCTATGATGCAAGTAAGAAAAATACCTTAAAAAGATTGCGGGGACACCGTAAGTGTTGAACGCGATTTAATAAGTCCTTTCAAATCGGATAATAGCGTAATGCATGACGTTAGCTTATGGAATTAACACCTTCGGTTGAAATGATAATAGCTGTGTACCAAGTAAACAACTGGGTGGATCATGCAAATTACATACGCATTGGTGCAATCCTTGGGATTGCGAAGCCACGCTTTAAGGATTGCTTCTATATCTATCTGCCTGTTCTGCAGACTTAATTTCAACATTTTGTAATTTTTTTCGAAAAATTTCAGCTCTTGTGGTCATATACCAGAGACGGGCAAAATCTCTAGGCCCCATCAAAGTAGTTGTACACAATCCATTAAAGATGGCCGATGAATATCACGAACTAGATGATTTAGCACTCAGGTATTACGATTAGCTCCATTACTTTATCACATGACGTCATGTTTATTTTATAACAATTTAACACAATGCTGTCCATATCACTTTTACTTCATTCATACGTAATGTAAAGTATTTCGGCGCCTTGGCATGCATTGCGTTAAAGATCACATTTTCACTTTCTGCAATAGATTGAGTTTGTTAGGCGACGAACTGTAGAAGCTGTAGGACTGGTAAACAAATGCCAACACTACAGGGTCACATAGATGGTAGATATCACATTAATGACTTAACCATATACTATTTATTATTGATAGTGTAAATGAAAATTTGACTATTATTTAGGATATTTGAATAATATATTATTTGGCCAGCGATGTCTGACCTAACTTATTGCATAAATCTGCCTAACGTAACATTTACTAATTTTCATATATGAGGGTGTGGAGAATCACAAATCACGTTTCTTGTGTAAGTGATTGTCATTTTAAACAGCACTAACGAAATTATGTATGCATTAAATATACTAAATTTAACATATGAAAATAAATTCGACAAATTTCAAATTGTTAAAGTTTAACAGTCACAAAGTAAAACAAAACTAAATGGGTTTTGCTTGTCTTCTTGTTATTTCTAGTTTAAAGGATCATCCATTTTCTGAGTATAGTTGCACCACGGCAAAGCACACCCATGCAAAGTTTACAAGAGAGCCACAAGAAGCAATTGTTGTAAGTAACATATGGACTAAGGCCCTAGCGGGGTACTCACATTGAAGTGCTATATGTGCCGCCAGAGGGGTCCCAAATTCACCAATTCTATCTGAAAAAGGGTATCTTATTTTCCCTGTCTGTCTGAAAAAGGCTTATTTTATTATTTCTGTCTGAAAAGGGGTCCATATTTTCCAAAGACTGTTTCTAGAGCTTGAGTGATTCAACAATCGGGAGAAATTGAAGCTGAATTCATCTTTTTGTAACTTCATTTTGATTGTGCGTGAAACTTGATGACTGCATTTTGCCTTTCAAGCCCACCTGCCTTTCCATTGGTGCCATTTATTAGTATGCTTACAGTCTGAAAAGGAGTGTCAAATACCCACAGTTTGTAAATTTGAGTTTGTTTCTGTCTGATAAGGAGTAGGGGTTTCAAACAGTCAGCTACACACCCATGTCAGTAATTTTTGCAAGTACCCCCCCCCCCGGGACTAAGGCATCTCTGAAATATTAATCTTTTTGTTGCTTATGTACATATTACAAACATTGTTACACAGGTATTATGATGTAACATACAGTTGTTTTATTCAATGTATATTATTTGCAATGTATTATATTCTATTGTATGCAGGTGCTGTTAGACATAAGTGCTTCAATGGCCGAATTATGTTTGAAGTGAGTTATATTAATATTCATTATGTCTTGTTACGCAAGCATGATTATTAAATATGGAAAAGTAAGTTGTCAGCTCGCTGGTAATAAATATTTCAGAAAACTTAAATCTTTATATAATTTACAAAAAATCATCTGATTTTCGCTTGACTAGATGATTTTACATATGCATTTTGACAAATATATAGTTACAAAATATTGAGAATAAATGGAAACTTACCGTGTTAAGAACACTGAAAGGTATACAATTATTAATTTGTGGCTCGTTTTAAAATTATGTGTTCATGTATGTCTAAGGTCTTTTTACAGATTACAGTTCTTGGCATTCTCCTGACAGTATCTCCTGTTTGTAGTGTATTGAGATATATGGTCATTAGCTATAGGAGTGCGCTTGTCTTGCACTGTTTTTCAATATCTGCATGGCACTGAACTAGAGTTCAGTTTTTTTTCTAAAATCCAGTATGGTTTGATAGTCTGTGATCTATTCCAGCCGTCTTTCTCATGCTATTTTCTGGTTTAATAACTTTTCTACCTCTCCATTGCAGTGCTGATTGTTAGGAATGATTCATCATGTATCAGATATCCCGTTACAAGCAAGTCGTCTTTTGAGCTTTTCTCTGTTGTGTCGTTCGATTAGTCAACCTCCAAGTAATTGAACTGTGACAAATAATCATTTCCACAAAATGCAAACTGATCAGTCCCAACTTGCAGTCCTGGAATGATGCATTTTTTATTTGTTTGATGATGGACTCACTGTCTCATAGTGCTTGACTTCATAATGGTTCACAATTCACTATAAGTCAGTATAATCAACTATGGATTTACATCCTTCAATCATTTGGTCTTGTCTATGCTAAACTTGTTCAAACACCATGGATATGCCAAATACCATACGTAACCAACAGAATCTGTTGAACTGTATTAAGGTTTTTAGGAATGAGCTCTTTTTGTCTAACGCATCAATTCTTTTTGCAAATTCAAACAATTGTTTCCACCTAATACAATAAAAAGTAGTTTTGTGTTATTCAGGGTAGTATGTCATTAATGGTTCATCTGTGAACTCATAGTCTCTCAAGTCAACGAGAAATTTCACTGGGATAATTGTGACATGAACTTGCTTTGAAAAAAAAGATTCCAGTTACGCTGTTGATTTGTTCATTTCCGGGTGACTGTATTTGCTCAATGCCATCCTCTCTATTTGCAGCTATACTGTGGATTTGTCTTCTTTAAAAAGTAACTCTAGCGATTGAGTTACATGTTGAATCAGATGCGGCGGCACAAAATTTTGCATGTAGGGCAAGATCTGCTCACTATTCCTCACCATGCACAATGGGTCGCGCATTTTGGGGGTGCTTGTCAATATCTCAAATAAAAATAACAATGCCCAAATTGTGAGTTGTCTGTCGCATCATGACTAGTCTGTGGTTAGTCAATCCCGGTATCTCAGATGCAACTTGGGAAATAATGGTAAAAAAATATGAAAATGATAATGAAAAACATAATGTCAACTTCATATTTATTACTCGTGTATACTATTATCTTTGTTTTTTATTATTTTCCTGTCATCTTTAATTTGTAGACAGTCAATGAAAAAGATCGAAGCTGTCAAGCATTTATTCCATGCCTTTGCAGATAGAAGTATAGCATATGATTTCTGGCATGTAATCGGTCTGACAACATTCTGCACAGACATCGTGGTTGTTGATGAATGCACTGAAGCATTGAACAGCTTCAAAGTGAGCGAAAAATATTACCACTTAATATTGTTTGTTTTAAAATTGGAATGCTGCTAAGAGGTCAGTGCAACAGATGGTGGAATTTTAACAATTACTTATTGATGGGGGAATTGTGTTACCTATTACTAAATTGAAGCAGCAAGTATGTACGTAGGTAACATAATAAATTAGTATGCAACATAATTCGCCCATCAATAAATAATTCTCCAAACTCCTCCTCCTGCTACACTGACCTCATAGCAGTCAGCTTTATGACTTGCCATTTAAAATAACACTGAAACTTTCGGGCAAGCTGTTTTAAAGTTAACAGTAGAAAATTGTAGCCAATAACGTCATGACATGTCATTTATTGCTGTAGAAAATTGTTTTACTACTCTGGTCTTGTCAATCACTCGGCTAGTTTACATATAAATCATTGAAGTTGCTCACTAATAATTATTTTCCTTCAATAAATTGAAATCATTTTAGGAGAAAGTTGACCAAGTATTTCCAAGAGATTCAACTGCAATGTATGATGCAGTTATAAATGCAGTGTCACAACTTAACGAAATTGGTGAGACCTATCCTAATTGCAAAAGGTTATTCAACTTTCAGTTACATACAGTATAGACATATCAATATCGTGTGGGTATAGATTACTTCGGCACACATATTGTATCTCCTGTTTTGGAAAGAGATGATCAATCAACTGTATTTTTTATAAACAAAAAATAATCTTTTTATAACGTTTTATTTTACAATATTGTTTGCCTGCAGGAGAATTTTATGCCTGACAGATGGTTACGACAATGTCTCGAAAAAATCCATAGTGGAAGCTGCAACCTCATTACAAGTAAGTCTGTTCATAAAAAGTGTCAGTTGTATTATTTTTAAATGTAATGTTATATATAGATATATGTTGTTTTGCGGTAGAATTAAATTAACATGTATGTATATATACATACGTGGACAGAGACATTAAGACACGACTACATGAGTAAAGTTCACTCTACAGTACTGTTTCGTAAGGTACATGGAGTACCTCACTCACATATATATATATATATCTACAAACTCATCGTTTAGTATCGAACACTCTCACCTGGAATAATCGACTACCTTCCTATATATATATATGATTTTGGGTGGCCAGTGTTTTAGACTAGATGCCGTCCATTATCGCGAGGCTTTCTTTAGGTGTACTGAGAATGGTGGTAACAGTACCCATAGTGCTAATAAAATCATATATCCTGTAAGAACAGCACTATTGCTTGATTGAAAATAATATAAGGTTATTACGAGGATACCTCAGAGTATGCGCAGCAGAGGTCGATGCGACGGCGTACTATCGCATTGTCCTTGTAAGGTAGGGTGAAAATACCCCGTAAAATACCACAAAATTACGGCACGCCGTAACTTATAGCGTTACGGTGAAAGATGTATAATACCCGGTAATCCTTGATAATACTACAATCAGTCAGCCAAGAGTTCGTTTTAGTATATTTGTGTCATTATCATTACAAAACCAATACAGCAATTTAATGAAATTGTTAAACATAATACAAATACATTGAAATGAAACTAAGAAACCTTTTTACAAGGGGCAATAAATTGTATAAATCACATGTCTCTTCAATATGGGTGGGCATTGTGCACTTGAAGATGTCATTAATTTGTCGCATGATATACCACCCCATCAAGTTATTCAGTCAAGCAGGCTTGAATCCATCTATATGGTTCAATCGAGCCAATATTTCCAATTATGAATGCTCCATCCTCACAACTGTCATCATTTGACAACTCTCCAAAAATCGACAGAGAGAAAAATTTGCTCAAAAATTTCGATGTCTGTGTAGCTTCGTATGTAAACGATTGACAGTCTCTGTGTTCCTGGTGTGACTTCACTATGTACTCTATGTATTTAAAAAACGTCTTTTGGGACCAAAATATTAAATTTATAACGCCGCCAAACTTCCAACATGTGTTCTAGTTAGTTCTGAAAATTAGAACCTAGGCATTTTTCACTTTTAATAAGGACTATTTTACATATTAATTGCTAAACTGACTATTTGAATATGTATTTACAGAGATCAAATGTTTGCCTGGACTCTGTTTTGGTTGGCGGTGCTAATGACAACTTGAAGAGTTTGACCAAAAGTACAGGTAGGTTTTATATTACAATATTAATAGTGATTGAAAAATACCAACTACTATATATATATATATATATATATATATATATATATATATATATATATATCGCATATTCATAAACAAATGTTTATTATACATTAATAATTTAGGGGGTTGTTGTTTTCATCCGACATCTCTGAAAGAAGCTCTGAAATTATTTGAAATGGAAACGGTTCTTTCGGTTAGAGCACGAAAAACAGTGACGAAGGCAAAGACAATAACTAAACAGGTATTCAAGCAATTAATTCACATTTCAAATTTACTATACCCCAATGACGTTTACAGTATTTCTATAATCAAAATGTGTATAACATTTGTTTTGCACATAATCTAAAATGTCTTATGTTATGCCAATCGTTCATTAATCAGCATAGTTATCATAGGGGAAGTGGCCATGTGATATTTCTACTCAACTAAAATATGCATAGATAACAACATACTTATCCTTTGAATGTCACAATACTGTATAACATACCCACTAGTGATGGCGTGCTTCGGTGACGTCAAAATGATGTATATGGGTCGTTCAAATCTACAACTGTGTTTGCTTGTATAGTTGTTTTTGTTGACAGACGATTACAGCAGATCAAATCCGATATTAACAAATTGGGTGGCCTTAGTGTCACCCATTTATGTCACAGGAGTACTTCGTAAATAGAGGGCCCGATTTGTAGTAGTATTGTATTTATGTTACTAAAAACTCAAATTACATCTTATAATATGCTTCACAACTCTAATTACTTACTACATGTCACAAATAAGTTTACTTTCTACATGTCACAACTCAAATTACTTCCTATGTGTCACAAGTATGATTACTTCCTACATGTCACAAATAAGATTACTTCCTACATGTCACAAGTATGATTACTTCCTACATGTCACAATCCAAATTACTTCCTACTTGTCTTAGGTAAGATTACTTCCTACTTGTCACAATCCAAGTTACTTCCTACTTGTCACAAGTAAGATTACTTCCTACGTGTCACAATCCAAGTTACTTCCTACTTGTCACAATCCAAGTTACTTCCTACTTGTCACAAGTAAGATTACTTCTTACTTGTCAAAAGTAAGATTACTTCCTACTTGTCACAAGAAAGATTACTTCCTACTTGTCACAACTCAAATTACTACCTACATGTCGCAATCCAAAATACTTATTACATGTCACAAGTAAGAATACTTCCAACTTGTCAACTCAAATTACACCTTGCGTGTCAAAACTAAAATTATTTCTAATAATATCCTCATGATTAACATTACATCTAAGCTACTCAAATTTTTAAAATTTAGTTTCAGTTATTCTTGTTTATTCTAGAAAGTTTAACAATCATTACTAAATATTCAATTTGCTTATGGTCTCCACCAACGGATTAACAATAACATAATACTATGTAATATTGAATACGTGTGTAGTGCTTGCCCGATTTGCAAAGATTTTGCAGCATACTTAGCAAATTTGTCTCAACATATGAACCAACAGGTTGAGAAAATGAATGTGCCTATTGAACGCAAGTAATGATTTGGCGTCAGTACCCATGTTAAACTAATTCTACTAGATATAAACATTATTTCACTGTAATATTTTTGCTTTCCATGCTTTAATGTATCCATTAATTTGTATTACAGATGGATCTTTACAAATACATGGCAATTGACTATGACAAACCACCCGGATACAATGTCCCTGATGACATAAGACGACCTGTTTCACCAGCACACGTGTAAAATCAAATTTATTTTTGCATATTTAATATTAACAAATGATTGTCTAACAAATTCAACAATTATCATGTATTGTTATGTCACACACAATATTTTCTCAATTGATTTGAGTTGGGCACATTAGCCGAGGCATTAACAAATCATTGGTTTGCGATTAAATATTAGAATATTATACTTATAGAATCCTGAACAAGGTTGCCACTGATCCACCTAAAGGTTTATCAACTGCTTCCGCTCGTGTGAAGAGAATTCTCCGGGAAATCTCAGCTTATAATAGAGAACCATATGCACATATACACATTTACCCGTGCGACAATAAGTAAGTAGTTTCAAAGCGCAATCCACAATTTTAGATAAATGTAATATGTTTATCATCAGCTTAAGATTCATTTGTGACAGTCATGTACTTTGCCGGCTTCATGGGACCTTCAATTTCACACATATACATACAAACCAAACCAGTTGTTTTCAAAATAATATTGACTAGATTGCTTGTACCAGGAAAACCATTCCTTAATTCATGATCCACAAAATACACCAATACCATTGAGTTTGTGAAAATTGTACAAAATTATATGAAGATTTCAAAAGAAGCATTTTGCACCAGGCTTGCCAGTGAAAACTCCAACAAGTGAATCTCATGGAAGAACCACTCGTCCTACACTTGTATCAACTATATTAATGTACATTTGTTAAAATCACCATAACACTTCCTGTTTTCACATACATGGACATGCAATGCAGTTGTAGCGAAATACTACATTGGTTAAAGCTAGTTAGCATCAAATAGCGTTTGTACTTGAACAGTGATGCATACATAGTGTTTGATCTTTGTTTTCTTTATTACAGCATTGGATTTTGGCGCGTACTTCTTGTTGGCCCACAGAACACACCATATGAGGGAGGAGTATTTGTACTATATGTCGATTTCCCCGACAAGTATCCATTATCTCCCCCTCAGATTAGATTCCTCACACCTGTATCCTTTTTAGCAATACAGTTATCATTTCACTTCACAACACTTGTGATAATCTGCATAATCGATTACAATTATCAAAAAATTACTGAAATGAATCAACCATGTATGGATGACTATGTCAGGTAATATATCACGTGTAATCAAAATGGCAAATGGGATGATGTACATTGATAATATGCAACAAAACAAAGTTGCAGTTAGTTGTAACTTTGATATATTCAGTGTACAGGTTCCAACATATTTTCTTTTAACATAGATCAGTTATTCAAATACCACAGTCTTTAACAATAACTCCAGATATACCACTGTAACATCAATGTTGCAGGTCGTATTTGTCACAGTATTTTTGATCGAAATTATACCCCAGATACACCAGTCAGTACTATTTTAATGTACGTATTTGGATTGCTGATCACTCCAGAACCTGATGATCCGCTAGATAGGTGAGTATATTTAAACAATAAACCGGACAACACAATGGTGTAAAAATAAACCCAATGACAAATGGCAATCCTTACAGAGAACTCTCAAGATCATTTCTCTGCATTAAATAGAATTTAAGCCAGTAGTTATCCCATCAGATACAAGATTTTCGTAATAATCTTACAAGATGGCAATTCTTTTATATGACAGAATGTGAAAAGATAACAAGTGCAAAATCTGCACGATTTGCTGAAATTGTTTATAAATCACATGAGAAACATGCAAGAATGAAAGCAATGATGTATTCACAATTTTGATAAGTGAAGCGTTTAATATGGACTCCAGCTTTATAGGGAGAATTAATTTGAATATCGAAATGTTTGTCATAATATTCACAGCGTGTTGGCAGAAGAATACTTTTCTGACAAAGACAAATATTATGAAACTGCAAAACAATATACAAAGAACCATGCGTACAGGACCCTGCGACAATGTCAACAGGTAAGGTGTCATGCTTGTTATTACGCGAGTTACACAATGAACATTATGACAAATTCCCAAATCTAGCTCGTGTGCAAATGACCAAATTTCATATGTTTACCGATAGTTTACTCTCTTCCAGGAGATACTCGGCAGTGCAGAGAGAGAGGCCGAACCCCTGCCATCTCATTTAATCTGCCCCTTAACTAAAGAGCTATTTGTTGATCCGGTAGTGACGCCATACGGCCACGTGTACGAAAGACATGCTATTGAAGATCATCTGTCAAAGTCAAACTATGACCCTATGGCAAAGAAACCACTACAGAGAGGGCAACTGAAGCCAAAGAATGGTATATTCAAACTTGTAACTGAATACAGAACCGTGCGTGTTAAAGCAGATACATGGTGGCAACAATGAGAATGAAACACCCCAGAGACGCACCATCTCATTATTACCACATTAATGAAATGTACTAATAAATCAATGTTATTGTGGGGGGGGGGTCAGATCAGGAATTTCAAAACAATACATATAGGTAATAGGGTCTATAGGGATAGAACAATGGATTACAGCTTATAAAGTAAAGCTTGGTGATATTAGATAATGAAGTATATTTTGTATCACAACACACAAATGACAAGGTGAAGTAAAGTTGTGAATTTCATACTAGGTATTATCCACATATACAAGGAAATGTTTCTTTCTATTATCAGCAAATTCTTTCTTTTTGATGTTTGAATCATAACTCAGTTCTATGTAGAAATATAAATGTGATTTCTTTTCTACAACTGCTCACTATATATTCATTGTTTTGTGTATTAGAACAATTTCTGTATACATTCCTCTACTTTAATTTTGCTGAAAATGGTACATTAAATTAAAATTACATGTATTTGTAAGAGTTTTTTTTTCTCAATATGAATGCCATTCAAACTAAACTGTTATAAATTAATATTGTGATTTAACCTACTTATTGTTAAAATTCTATTGTACCAAAGACAATAGGGTCTATGATTATACATACTACACATTATATACCAATATTTTGTATACAACAGAATTACTAATCAACCAACAAAACATATTTGGTTAAAACAAACGCCTGTAGCGAACATGTGTGCATTATATTCGCATTTTATCAAGTTAAATGTTGATACAAGAAATGTAGCTTTTATTAATCTCAATTTATTTTGGAAGCATATAGGACTTAATTGTTAACTGATGTATACGTCAGTAATAATACCGAAAACATTTTCAAGGACAAAATAGCTCTGCTGTCTTTGTAGACTATCTTCCTCAATACAAATTTGAAAATGATATGTATGAAGAAGTATTAACTATTTGCAATAGTTATTGTTATCACAATATGCTTGCCATATCATAACCAAGAAAGTTTATATTTTTGTTGCTATGGCAATTGCAATCCTCTTACTACGGCAAATCCCATATTGGTGCACCCCCAAAAGATCCTGCTTATCAAGTATTAAAGAATCATTAAAGGTACTTAACAGCAAATTTGAAGTCGAAATGCCAGTTTTGATCACAATGAACAAAACAGAGAGAACCACGCAAGGTACTTGTATACCAAACTTGATAGCACTCTGCTACTTGTTTTCAAAAACAATTGGTGACAGATGGATAGACACTGAGCAATCAGTAATATGAACAGCACTGCAATGTCATCTTTGATGACCGCAGAGCTATGTATAGCTGGATCTAATACATTATTCCCATCTTTTATGAATACCATATATATACAACCCCACACATTTTGATAACTGCAAAGTAATTTAGGGGTTATTACATGACAAATCTGTGTTGTGTAATTAACTTCATTATCATACATAATTTCAAAAACTATTAGTATACATGTGCTGTAGAGGAAAATAAATTTCATCAACATGTACTGAAGGCATATGCTGTAATGTTTAAGAACTTCATATTTGACAAGCCAAAGAGGTTTGCCAAACACTTTTCTCCAAAACATGAAATTTCTACTAGCAATTGATCAACCATGTCAAAATAATAGAAACTGACAAGTCTTCAGAACTGTGATAAATTTATTATAATGTACATCTATTTCATGTTTCTGTCTTGAAAACAGACATTGTAGTAAAAAAAACAGGAGTTATTAGTGCCATGGTCACTGAACTACAGATTCTAGAATGTGTTGCTGTTCTAGGTAGTGTTTGATGTTTAACTATTGATCCTTTACATTGGGTGTATCAAATTTCATGGTGCTGCTTACTAGTATATTGAATAAAAACTATGATGTATCATGTTACTGGTAATTCATTCTCTTTTTGAGTGATTTGAGTTAACTGTTCATTACAAGTCATGACAGTTAAAGTCAAAATGAGAGTTGCATCTGTACATATAAAAATTTATGGCAAATAAAAACCATCTACAGAAGCTGAAATGTACTTCCACAAAGCACATTTCTTGTTGGATTTCTTTGTACAATGGATATGAGACAACCATGCATCAAGGTCCCATTATGTTCAATATAAATACCAAGATTGAACAAAATCTGTATATGAACAATTGAGATCAGGTTCAGAAATGGCAGAAATGCTTGATTTTTATGACTATTTAGCCATTAGGCCATCTTCAATCTGATCATGAAACATATGGACATGCACGCATACATGTATCCCAAGAGATAGGATGTTCTTGTGTACATCCTGAACATCATCTGAACATGAACTATTATTTAAACAAGGATGCATGGCACAGTCCCCGTTAATAGTAATATAGCTGGAATATAACCAAGTCAGGAATATGATTTTTTTTAACATTAAAATGATTGACATTTGTATCTGATCGTCAAACAAGTACTTGTCCATATTGACAGATATTGATCTGGAACAGCATTCAAAATCAGCCATTTTGAATACATGTATATATATATAACATGATGTATAACGAATCTATAAAATTTGAATATAACCAGTCAAAGCATTTAAAAGATATGGCTCTAGAAGCCCAATCATTAAAACAAAATGGCTGCCGGTCAGCCATTTTGAATCCAATCTGAAAAATAAAATGACGTGCATCAGGAACCTGTAATGTCTAATGTATGTTATAAGTTTGAACAAAATCCATCCATAATTGCAAGAAATGCTTGATATTTGAGGATTTTTTTAGCACAAAAATAGCCACCATTTGGCCACTTTGAAAAAGGATCGTCAAACCCATAATGTCTAATGTATGTACCAAGTTTGAACGAAATCCATTCATAAATGCCAGAAATGCTTGATATTTGATGAATTTTTAGCACAAAAACGGGCACCATTCGGCCATTTTGAATAGGATCGTCAAACCAATATATCTGTCTATCTATGACATGATGCATAATGAATATTTTAAATTTGAACATAATCAGTCAAAACAAGTCAGAGATATGGGTCTAGAAGCCCATTCATTAAAACAAAATGGCCGCCAGTCGGCCATTTAGAATGTTATCTGAAAAACAAAATTATTTGCATTAAGGTCCCATAATGTCTAATGTATACTATGGAATACTTTATTTTCGCTGGAATTAATTTTCCCCGAAACGGCTTTTTGGGCATTTTGAATGGAATTTATTTTCACTGATTTTTGATGAGTTTAATGTGAAATATAGGAAACCAGAACGGCAATGAGGTAGATGCTCATCCGGAATTTGGGTATGAGAGTAGAAACTTTTAGCTGCTTTTGTTTTTTTATTTTCCTGTTAGTCTTGAACTGACATATTGTCATAGGAAAAACCAATGGTGCTGCGTAGATGGAGTCATCATTATATGTAGTTAGCATCTGTACGAGTTAAAGTGTAGTAAGAAGACCTTCTAAGGTAAAGTGTGAATATAGGTTGTGCCCAGAAAATTTGACCATTTAGGGGGAAAGTAGGTGAAATAAAGGTTATCAAATCAAATGAACCCTTATTAAAACAAGCGACCTAACGGTCACAATAGCTTCGCTGTCTCCATAGAGCTTGGTGATGCCATCATGATTATTGAAAAGGTTATTGAATGACTCTTACAGTGGATAAATGTAAATAGAGCTAAATGAACAAATCTAACAAAATCTATGCAAGGTATACAAACAAAGTGATTGTGTTTCAAGAAAAAGTCGAAAATAACATAAAATGACGCAACATAAAATGAACAAATCAGACAATAATCGTAAACACTGAATTTAAAATCGCTCGGTATCACTTATCATTAACAACGCTTAGGCAAAAAAAAAAAAACTTTTATTTTTGTACCAATGTCATACAATAGGATATTTGGAATTATCTTTAAAAAAAAATTAAACCAAAAACATTTTGGTGTGAAAACAAACTTTCAATCTAATGTTTTTGTTTTAATCAACTGTAAACTACAACCTACATGTACCAGTAATCTTTTTATGAGGAATGAGTTTTTATAATTTTAAGTCTGACATTCAACATTCTAAAATTTAGGTCGAGTATTTTCAGTCAGTTGAGTTTTAAATATGCATTAAAATACTGTAATAGTTGACAAACTAAAAAAATAAAAATGAAAACAATACAATGTATTTCCATGTTTCAAAATTACTGTTTTCAAAAAATAGAATCTACTGACTGCTAATAAAATCATTATTTTGTCACACTGCATGATGGATACTGAGGACAAAAGTCACTGGAAGTACGCATGCTGCCATGCTGAGTTGTTTTTTCAGGGAGCTTTCTTCTGCAGCTACGGGTTTTCAAAATTCCGGAATCTTTTTTTTTTTTTTGCATCATGCCTTTTATTGATGGTGATGTTCTGCGTTCGACATCGTAAACGCTGAATTTAAAATTGCATTTCATATAACCGACAATAATATCGATGGATAACAACAACACCTTTTAATGAGAGAATCAGTTAGTCATTCAATGTATGGACGTATGATGATCACCTTTACATTTCCTACAGGTGAAGCGTGAACGGCACTGTTTTAAACAATGTTTGCCTAAACAATTAAAACAGTTGATTACGTCTGAGTCACGTGTACTTACGGTTTGGCAATCGTTCGACGAATGCCGGCTTTTACAGTAGTGTTGAGTTGTGGGAGGTGGTGAATTTGATCCATGGTTGGCGGTCGTCGCTGGTGGGTTTGAAGGGCTGTGTTGAGTCGAACCGTGAAACGCGAATATTTCATGGCGGTTGTTTTGAATGGCCTGCGTCACCATGTTGAACGCGACATGGAGGTAAATACCTCCATGAACGCGGCGACTGATGAGGGGTACGTGTCCGGGTTGAGAATATAGTTTTCATGTCTGACATTGAGAACACGTATTTCTTGAAGCATGCATTTACTTAGCGTGGCTAATGTCCAGTCCTTGTTACCGTTCGTATGTGCATTGATGATGTAACGACTGTCGGCGTTGTTTTAATAGCGATAACGCTATTCTATGTAGTTTAGTGATTTTACTTGTATAGCGCCCTCTGTAGTTAACGAACAAACAGACCAAGACATGCCATCTTGAAGAGAAAGTTAGTCGGATTTGATTGACGAAGATAAAACAACAAAGTTTTAGTTGTATTTAGCACCGATCCCCGGAATAGAGTTTTACGTGAATTTGTAATTCTCTCCACGAGTTCAAAGATAATCCTGCAGACATAGCGTCGAGAGGTGTCAGCGCAAAGGAATTGAACCAGAGTACTTTGTGGTGGAAGGGACCAACATTCCTATCGACAGCAGCGACGTTGATCCCAGAAATCAACCATGTAGATCTTCAACCTGACGACCCAGAAGTCAAGGAAGTAACTGTGTTGGTTACAAAAGTCAAACC